TCTCTTAGCAGTTGCTAACACTACATTGCACAAAAGGATTGAGAATAAATTTTAAAGAAATCATCTTTTCTCCTTCAAAAGAGGATTTCACCAGCACATTTACCTGAAGAATCTGGGGGTGAATACTGCTTCAGTGGTATAGACTGCATCCTTAAGAAGTGACCATAATACTGTGTGTGTACACACACACATAGAACTGTAACTGCAAGAGGGTTTTTAAACGTCTCACTTTATTTTTTATACATATTAATCATACAGCTATCATTACTTAACAGCAGTTGCAACTATGCACTTGTATAAAGCCATAATGTTGGTTTATATCGTTCATTCATTCATTCATGTCTGTGGACCTGATGGAAGCTGCATGTTAATGTTTAAGCAATTAATGTAACAAAGAATTTGCAGTTAATTATGTCAGTTTCCTAATGCTTCATAATAGGCAACTTTACCCATTTTGAATGCCTTAATTTAATTTTTTTTTTAAAGTTTTAGTCCTTTAGCTGTATTTTTTATAAAAACAAGTATTTGTTTACTGCTATTAGGGTGCAGATTTGCCTTGTGGAAGAAAAATAGTGCACTATTTTTACATATAATAGTTATATCAATGTCAGTCTATTTTGATTGTAATTTCCTTTTTAAGTACTGGTCATAGAAACAATAATGGATAGTATTCAAACTAATATATCTTTGATGTATATCTATTATTCATCCAGCCCCTTTTACAGACTCCAGTATTAGTCTGACTCAATAAGTGCTATGAAATATTTTGTTTGAATTTCTTGAGAACTCTAAATGTGTCTTTATTTCTGGTAAAAACATTTGTGTCTATTTTTACATTTCATATTAAAAAATTGTCTCAAATATAAAGAAAACTAAAACATACTGTAGATATATTTTAAATATTTAAATGTGATCCTCAAACACAATTCTGTATGGCAATATTTCAGTATTGGGTAAAGAAAACTACTAACTGCGAAGAAGCTGCCTCAAAGGCACTTGATTTTATTTTCATTTTAGAAATACTATTAAGTTACAGTTTATGCAGGCCCATTCCTGCTATATTTTTCATAACACCAGAATAATGTGTTTATACCACTGTAGTATGCAGCAATGGTAATTGAGTAAAATATAATAAAAATATATATTCCTTTATCAGTCTCCATGTATACACACATACACAGAGGATACTGAAACACAGCATCCAATATTTCAATGAAGAAAGGAGACGTGTTATTGATTCCTTGTAGGATCAGTACAGAGGTGTTTAAAGAGTTATATCTCCAATAATAGATTATATTGTGGAAATGGAAAAGTGGCCTACTGATAAATTCAAATGGAATTTTTTCTCACATTTCCAAGTCTGCACTCTTTCTTACAGTCTTGCTTAAATTAGATATGCATGTCATTTCCCTTGCTGATAGGTTTCCTGCAGTTCTGGTTTTGAGGCACAGCTTTTTTTTTTTAAAGATTAAAATTAAAA